AAAGTGGGAGAGGAGAAATCAGGGAAATAACTTAAAAAAATAAAAAAATAAAGGAACTTCGTTCACGCAAGTCTGCATCGAGTTTCAAGCCAGGCCTCAAAACGCCAGTGATTGTAATCGAGTTAAATCTAAACACGGTTACGGGAAACACGCACGTATGTGTGTGTGTGTGTAGTAAATAGTGGGGAGCGATAGTGTAGCGGTTAGCGCTACGCTGCACTATGAACCTGGCGACCCGGGTTCGATTCCCGCTCACGGCCAACACCAGTGACGATTATCTGAACCGGTCCCGGGCCTCCCCTAGGTCGACTCAGCCTAAAATGAGTACCTGGTGCGGTGTGGAAACATTGCCACTAGGGAGACAAAGGCGGTCGGGCGTGGTGCTGGCCACCCACCCCCTTGTGTACCGTTCCGGCCTTCATAGGTGCTCGCTAACAGCACTTGCCCCTACAGTCTGTTAAGGCTATATGGGGGATCTTTGTAGTAATTGACTGTGGGGAGCGGCAGTGTAGCGGTTAAAGCTACGCTGCCCTACGAAACCAGCGACCCGAGTTAGATTCCCGCTCACGGCCAACACCAGTGAGGATTATCCGAACCGGTCCAGGGCCTCCCCTAGGTCGACTCAGTCTCAAATGACTACCTGGTACGGTGTGTAAAACATCGCCAATAGGGAGACAAAGATGGCCGGGCGTGGTGTTGGCCACCCACCTCCTCGTGTGCCGTGTCGGCCTTCATAGGTGCTACTCGCTAACAGCACTTGCCCCGACAGTCTGTTAAGGCTATACGGTGGGATCTTTGTTTTTTTTGTGTCAATTGACTGAATGCAGAGTCTGGGTGAGTTTGCGTTTAGAGAAAACATGACGCAATAGTCGGACGCGCCGTACATACACCGTCTCAAGAGTGTTGTTTTGTATTCATATTCTTAGCTCTTTCGGTAAAGTCACGTTGAAGGGGAACAACTGAAGGCACGGCGCTAATGCGATTAATTAATGTTCAGCTAGGTGCGATGGAGGTGGGCCCAGTAGCTTCGAGGTCAGAGCACCTGAGCTGACGCCGCTGAGATCCTGGGCTTGAGTCTTTCTCTTAGCCGCCCCACCCATAATTAAGCCGGCTTGCTCCGTTCACTGCTTGTTTTTCTTTGTAACTGATGCCATGTGAAGTTAAACAAGATTCTTGAGTGTGGCGAGTTGATGGGTCACCAATGACTGCAATCAACCAAATCATCTTAAAATTGGAATTGCACTCAATTTGGCAAAAGTCCGCTTATGAGAGGAACACAATAATAATAATATTACCTTGCCCTGTCGGGCGATGACCTCATAGCAAAATATATGACTAAGTGCTTATATTATCATTACTATATTGTTATAACTATAAAGGTCATAATAAAAAAAGGGTTAAGGTGCAGCCTTTTCAAATGCTTGCTCACGCCACTGCTGACAGAAGGTGCTCCACTAGAGGGAACTTCAGAGGGAGCATCTATAGAGCGGATTTTTGGCCTACTCTTCCATGCTGCTCGGACATGTTGACAGACGTGGGGGTACCTACACTTTAACCCACTACATGCGACCTTCCTAATGATAACCCACGGGACACAGGTGGGGAGGGGGGGCAGTTAATAAACTTTTTTCAACTGCCATGCCAGTAGTAAAAAACGTACCTCCGATTAGCACGGTTGGCTACATTCGGTGTGAAAGAAGTTCAACATACAGCACACACACACATACTGCCCATAGACTCAACGCCGCCCATAGACTCAATGCAGCACCTCCAATTAGCACGGTTGGCTACGTTCGCGGTGAAAGAAGTTCAACATACACACAGATACGGTGACAATTGGTGTGTGGACGTAGCCTGGGCCATCCGCGGCGCTGCCGCGGTGTAATGGTTCACACCCTGGACTCGCAACCCAGAGGACGCCGGTTCGATTCCACCTTTCAGCGCGGCGGTTGAAACAACGGGAGGAAGTTTCTTAAATCCCTCACCGTACTTTCAAAATTTCATATTAAAACCACTTGTTTGGCATTGGTGAGATGTTAACTACCTCGCCCGGTATGCAGAAGGTCGTGGGCTTGATCCCGACCCTGATGCCTGCTGTGTATTTGGAGTATGCGTGTTCTCCCCACTGTCGTGTTGATTTTCTCCGGGTTCTCTAGTTTTTCGCTCCAAACGTAGAATCAACGTGCGCTTAAGAGCGAGTATTTTGCTGCTATAAATTTCCACGTGATGATAAGTGATACGCCGCTTCGTTGAGCTACCATTTGTGATAGCCAGGTTGCTTCTGAAAAAAATGCTACATATAAGCTAAGTGGGCCTTGCCTGGTAAAATAAAAAAAGTTTAAATAGTTTTTCTTCCAATTGGTAAAATGTATACCACTGGCCCGTCGCTGAAAAGTGTGCATCTCCCTTATCCAAGCCACGCTCGGGAAAAAAAACTTTTCCATCACACAAATGGGCCAGGAACTCCAGTTCTTTTTCGGGCAGTGCGCCACCGCTAGTTAACGGGGGCGCCGCTAGTTAACGGGGGCGCCGCTAGTTAACGGGGGCGCCGCTAGTTAACGGGGGCGCCGCTAGTTAACGGGGGCGCCGCTAGTTAACGGGGGAGCCGCTAGTTAACGGGGGCGCCGCTAGTTAACGGGGGCACCGCTAGTTAACGGGGGCGCCGCTAGTTAACGGGGGCGCCGCTAGTTAACGGGGGAGACGCTAGTTAACGGGGGCGCCGCTAGTTAACGGGGGAGCCGCTAGTTAACGGGGGCGCCGCTAGTTAACGGGGGAGCCGCTAGTTAACGGGGGCGCCGCTAGTTAACGGGGGCGCCGCTAGTTACACGGGGGAGCCGCTAGTTAACGGGGGCGCCGCTAGTTAACGGGGGCGCCGCTAGTTAACGGGGGCGCCGCTAGTTAACGGGGGGAGCCGCTAGTTAACGGGGGCGCCGCTAGTTAACGGGGGAGCCGCTAGTTAACGGGGGAGCCGCTAGTTAACGGGGGCACCGCTAGTTAACGGGGGCCTTGCGCGCACTCACCGAGGAGAGACGGTGACGCTTTTTCCCGCGCCGCGTTGATTTTTCGACGGAATAAACGAGCGCGAGTGCAGGGGACGATGATTCGATTTAAAGCGCAGTTTCCATGGAGACAGAGGCACAAGCGCATTACAGCGCAATTATATTACAGGCCCTATGCTGTGTCAGAGCCCATTACGTAAACAATGAAGATTTTTTTTCTGTAAACAAACGCTTGCGAAGCAACGCGTCTCCAACCGGCTGGGCTGAACAATCTACTACATCTCACCGCCTGACCTTTGCTGCCGTTAGAACGTATCTATAATTACCAGATGTCGTGAAATTTCACAGGTTTTTTTTTTTAACACTCATCCAAACCCCCGAAGACCTCATTTTTCCGTAAGAAAACGGACACGTTTATGAAATCACTGTGGTCCCCTCCCCCACCCACCCACCCCCATCCCCCACAAACTAAAACTTGCTCATGCGTCAAACCGCACTGGGTCTCGCCGAGTCACAGGGGGAGCAAGATTCGCATCCCGATGAAACGGCGGCAACGCACATCGTCTTAGACGTGACGCTCGTTGTCGACGTGAACGGGCACGCCACGGTGGATGTTTCTGCCCCGATGGTGCCTCTCGCCCTTCACAGATTTGAGCGACGACAGCCAACAGATCGGCGGGTCGCGTAGGGTTGTCTCTTTCGAGACGCCCCTCCGAAGAACCGTGCCCTTCGGAGGTGCGGGGGGGGGCAACAAACTAAACACAAAGAGCAGCTCCAAAGAAATTCGTTTTCAACCTGGATGATTTAACAGTGCGTAGCTCCGGTGGCATCTTGATATCGGAAGGAAGAGCGTTCAGACGGCCGCAGAAGCGCGTCTGAAAGCGCGCGATGCTGTGGACCGTCTTTGTTTGATGACCAGCCAACAACTGCCTGCGAGGATGACCACAGTTTGCGTAGCGATGGTTTATGCTCGTTGACGAGTAAGGCCAAATATCCTCTAGTGGGGGGGCCCTTTCTATCCAGCAGTGGACGTGAACAATCAATTGCAGAGCTGCACCTTTTACCTTCATAGCAGGGATAGCACTTCTCTACATACAGTAAAAACCTTGGATTGCGAGCATAATTCGTTCCGGAAACGTGTTTGTAATCCAAAGCACTCGTATATCAAAGCACTCGTATGTCAGTTGTGATCACGTGACGCTCGGCAGACAGAGCGTATACGTACACTGCTCGTATTGCAAGACCCTCGCTCGTTTATCAAATTATTATTTATTTTACAATTTTTGCTCGTCTTGCAAAACACTCGCAGACCAAGTTACTCGCAATCCAAGGTTTTACTCTGTATATACGTTGTTACACGAAATCGTCGCACAAACAGGGAAAGGTAACATTATTATTTTTGTTATTCTCCTAAGTGGAATTTTTGCCAAATGAGTGCAAATCCAATTTTAATGTGATTTGGTTGATTGCAGTCATCGGTGAATGGCCTGAGACCCATTAAGTCGCCCACACTCGAGAATCCGGTTTAATCTCGAACGGCATTCATACGAAGAAAATAAGAGCGAAGGGAGCAAGCCGGTTAATTATGGGTGGGCGGCTGAGAGCCAGCCTTGAGCCCAGGATCCCAGGGGGTGTCAGCTCTGGTGCGCTGACCTCGAAGCTACCGAGCTGCCTCGATCGTACCGATCCGAACATGAATGAATCACGTTATTTCCCGTGCCTTCCGTTTAAAAGCAAGACAACACTCTGAGACGGCACAGTGCGACCAGCCTTCGTTTCTTCTCAGGAGAGACGTGACCAAGCCACTGCACGCAGCCCGCACCTCTGCCAATCCCCAGCCCACTTCTCATGTGGTCCCGGGTCCTCTGCCAGAATGACGAGCGCAGCCACACAGGGACAGCCTTCCTCAAAGCAGGACTGCCCCGGTCAAGCCCGGGATGGTCAGTAGCTTTGTAGATGGTGCGGTTAGTGTGGTGAACCGGGCTGCTTGGGTGTGCTCACCAGCGTGGCGCCCTGCGTATCGCGGTGCTCCAAGCTGTCGCCGTTGGCGATCGCCCTCCGCACGTCCTCCATGAGGTGCCTCTCGACGGCTGAGCGCGTGTCGTCGATGGTCTCCTGCGTGATGCCTGGCGGGGCGCGGCGTGGCACGGACAGACGCAATGTCAGCAGCTCGCACGGGAACGCACGGACTCGCACAGAGACCCATAGACTCGCACAGAGACCCAAAGACTCGCACGCAACGAGTTGTGATGAAGACCGAGATGGAGCACCATGCAATGCACTGCTCGGCAACAGTTGCAACCTTCAAATTGGACACAAATTGTCCGATGACACGGTTGTCAATAGCACAAATGGGATTAAAATTGACGGTTTAAAAATAAATTTTCTTCGGAGGAAAAACATCCGCAAAGTGCCAAAAGTCACAAGGGGCCAGCTTCAAGCCTTGATGGAACGTCTGAAACACATCGGCCAAGTGACAGCTAACGCATTGTCTGCGATGGATACCTCCCCCACCCACCTTTGGCGCATTTTAGCAACAATAATAAAAGTTTGATGAAAAGGTAACGTTTGCCAACGCGAGAATTTGTGCCCAAAATGCCAACGAATTGGGCAAAGCTCCTCACCCACGGAGATCCTGAGCCGGCCTTACACAATTCTACATTCCGATCGTGTGCACGAGTGACGTTGATTGTCAATTGATTGTTATACGGCTTTGGCAGGCATTCATCCAGCAGCGGGAATGATCATGGCTGATGATGATGATATGGGGGGGGGGGGGGGCAATCTCTCTAAATGACAACCGCTGTTGCTTTTTCATTAACTGAAACTAATTTCTATTAACCCTCCCCCACCCGAAAGGAATGACTACGATAGGCTGATTCAACACCCCATCTGGGATTTGAACTTGCGACCTCCTGACTGTGAGACAGCTGCTCCACCGGCAGAACCACCTGGGCCAGGCTGTCGTACAGGTGGCGCTCGATTAACCACACCGTCGATCCCACGCTCAATAAGCCAATCCCCAACACATGTCGTCTAAAGGTAGAGGTGCAGGACCTGCAATTGCTCGCCACGGCTGGTGGAAGTGCCCCCCAGCAGAGGAAGCTCTCGAGAGCCCCTCTAGTGGGTATCTTGGGCCTACTCTTCCACGCAGGCCGGACACATTGGAAGAAGTGGGAGTACCCACACTTTACCCCACCACACACACGCCCTGCCAATCGACAAAGTACAAAAACTATAAACTATTATTTTTATTTTATCAGGTAAGGCTCACTGAGCTGTACAGCTCTTTTTCAGAAGCGACCTGGCCACAAATGATAGCTCAACAAAGTGGATTATCATCGTGTGGAAATTTATAGCAGCCAAATACTCTAAACGCGTGATGTTGATTCTAAATGTGGAGGGGAAAACCCGGAGTGAACTGGAGACCAACTCCACACAACCACGGGGAGAGAGACAGAGACATGCAGACTCCAAATACACAGCAGGCGTCTGGGTCCAAATCGAACCCACTACCTCCTGTATACCAGGCGAGGTAGTTAACATCTTGCAACTGTGGTTTCCCGTGGTGACCCCACACACTGCTGGGTGGACATAGGTGGCAGATCGGCGGTGGGGGAGAAGAATTAAGAAACTTATACAATTGTATTCTTGGTTCTTTCGGTAAAGTCACGTAGAAGGGAAACAATAAAATAATAAAAATATAATAGAATAAAATTCTCACGACGTTTCGACTGCAACACAAGCAATCATCGTCAGGTGTGAAAACCACAGCAAGAAAATTTGAAAAAAGTGTCGGGTTTTTTTTCAACGTTAGCACCACGGAGAGCGATTTGAAAGTTTATTCAGATGGACGAGTCCATCTATGTTCGGAAAAGAGGAGGGGGGAGACGAAAATAATGGATGCGGTCTGAAAGCCACTGTAAGCGTGAACAATCAATTAAGACCCGAAATGGTTGATCAAATCCTTACAATGATTGCTAAGCCAGAATCCATCTTCTCGGTTGAACAGCGAGAGCAGAGCCGGCTCTGTTTATTTAATAAGTGACTGTGAAGGCATGTCTGCGCTTTAAAGGTTCGTCCATAAATAATTAAGTGAGTAAATAATGCGCCTGATGAATAAATAAACGCATCAGCGGGGGCTTACCGCCCCCGTTGGTACATTTTTATATATATGTTGTGTATTGTGTACGGGGTACAAGCGAGAAGTGGTGCAGTGGTTCGTATCCTGCTGGACGAGACCTGTGTTCGATTCCCAGCCATGGTGGGAGACGGGGGGTAGTGGCCAATGGCCCCCTCAATCGCCAACCCGCTCTGACCGGCGTGCCTCTCACCGGCGTGGCTCTGATCGGCGTGGCGAAGCATAGTCAAATAAGCCCCAAGACTGACACGGCCTTCATCCAGCAGTGGATTTTCACGGGGCAGTACGTGCACACGTTATTATCAGGGCCTGGAAAATGGAAGAAATTAACAGCGGGGCAGCTCATAAACGCAACTCCCCCACCACTCCGGGCACGCGGCGGACGGCCACTTGCGAATTAGGATGAGAATGTTTACGTGTCCTGATGGAATCCGATGAGCGATGAAGCTCTTTTCGCACACGTCCAGCATATTTAGAGAGGGAGAGAGAGACAAGCTCTGTTGCCACACCTGTCCCTGGCTTCTGCTGGAACGCAGCCGGGTTACAATTTTTCACTCCCGTCCCGGTGCTCCGGGTCGTTCCACACAGAGTTCAAATCCTGCACGGCTTTGTTTATAGAAATTACTCTTCACGTTTTTTAGGTTTGTATCAATGCACGTTTTTGATTAAATGGTTTTAAATGCGGGCGCCACGGTGGCGAGATGTTGACAACCTCGCCTGGTATACAGGAGGTCGTGGGCTCGATCCCGACGCTGACGCCTGCTGCTGCATATTTGGGAGTTTGGAAGAGTAGGCCAAGGTGCAATTTAGAGTGGGTCACAGAGTCGAGGCTCTTACGCCAGCGGTGGCTGGCGACGGGTGGTACCCGAGTTCGAATCCAGGCAGCCGCCTGGGATGAAGCCGGGTTCCACAGGCGGAGTGAATTTGACTGTCGCAGTATGGCCGCCGGTGAATGCGTAAACAACAAAAAAAACATCGCATTCAATGTTGGCGCTGCATTCGATTCGGTTCAACGCCAGCACCGAGAAACGTAAAATACCGGCCGGGTTGTCACACGACGAACGAACACGGGGTTATCGTACGCAGATCGGGGGATGGGGGGAGGGAGAGTGCTCTGCTGTGTGGAACGAGGCCACTTCAAGGGCACCCCCCCGAAGGTAACTCCGTGGTATCCACTTTCGCGGGCCGTTCTCGGACAAACGAAACGGGGTGGTGGTGGTGGGGGGGGGGGTGTCGTGCACTGCTCTGCAATCGATCTCAATGGATCCTCCACCTGACGGACTGAAGCCGTTTGCACAATCGAGATAACATTTGAGGGGGGAAGGCGTGGCGGGGGGGGGGGGGAGTTATTTAACAAGGAAGAAAAAAAAATGTCCACATACACGGATCGTGCAGCACTTGGCAACATGCGGTTGCCCTCTGTAATATTGAACGTCGATAATGACGTTGCCCCCTGCGCTGCACACGGAGATGACTGCACGCAGCGCAATCCTTTGATACACTTGCCCAGTTTTTTTTTTTCCCTCCTGGGCAAGCCCCTTAATATCAACCCACACTTCATAACGAAATGTAACTTAAAATTAAGCGTCTCCCCTCCATCTGGAATCGTGCGCTTGCCGCACAACCGCGCCTCTGCGAGTGCCGGTCGGAGTGGCTGACCGGTTGGGGGTTGCAGAATGCGAGCACGTGCCAACCACCCCACGACGGTGTCACACCCAGGCTGAGTCATGGGCCCTCTCGACTAACGCTGTGGCCCACCTCCCAAAAAACGCCGGCCGGGGGCTTCCCGACTCGCAGTCTGATTACTCGGACCTAGGGGAGTCTTCTTCACTGCAAGGCCCGCGGGGGGGGGGGGGGGGGGGGGCCAAGGGCTGCCCCTGGCAGCTCCTGACGTGCAGCTATCAAACCCCCACCCCCCCACCCCATGGTTTCAAACGTGTGGCGGCCCTCGCCACTGATGATGTCGTATCGGCGGAAGCGGCCACTCCCTCTGAAAATTCGTGAAGAACACTGGGCTTAAGAGTGTTTATTGGGCGACTCCCCCCTCTGCTCCGGGACAAAGAATGCGTGGAGGCTGCCCGGCTCGCCCCCGGCAAATCAGCAGCCTCACGGCTTCCTCCGGCTGTGCCCGCTCCATCCGGGGCCCCCTTAGAGGGTTCCCGCCCCACCCACCACACGTGATAACGTATCGCGAGCCCTCCAGATTCACGGGAGACCCCAAGTAAAAGAGACCCCTAACTCCCCCCCCCCCCACCTCTAATCCCCCCCGCCACCCCCTAACGCCTTTGGAAAACCAACCTGGCACCTCGTGAGCCGCGCTGGGCTACTGCTGCCACCCAGAGCGGCTCGGCTGTACAGGGGCAAGCGAGTTCCGAGTTTACGGTGTCCAGCAGCGGTCAATCGTTAAGACACAGAGTCATCCCATCGGCAGGCCAGGATTCCGCGATCCGTCACGGGGTTTTACAATGTCCCTAAAACCACGGAGCGTAAAACAGCGGTGACCGGAGCGACGCGGTTAGTGCGAGTGGATTTCGGGATTTAACGCCGTGCCACCTCGAGTGTTCCGCAACAATCGCCGTCCTGTCTGCAGGTGCATCGCCCCTCCGGGGCTATTTAATTTAAAAGCTCTGAAGGATTCTCCGGTAGAGCCCGGTGCGTAATAGATGTATTTCACTCCGCGAGCGTCTCGCTCGCCGAGATGAAACAGTAATCCCCACCCCCCACCGCCTCCGCTGTCGCGAGGCCGCGCGACGCTCTCTGAGAGAGCGAGAGAGAGAGAGAGCGAGAGAGAGAGAGCAAGAGCGAGAGCGATAGAGCGAGCGCCGTTCTTTAACGGTACAATCAACGGCTCTCTTGCCTTCCAAGGATGCGGAGTCGATGCCTTTTCAAAACGCAGCTGGCCGACCGGCGGGCAGCTGGCCTCTCTCTCTCTCTCCCTTTCGTTTCTCGCCGCCGATTGATCGAGAAACCCTCGTTACGAGGTGTAATTTACGAAGTGTAATTTACGAGCCTCAATTTTCACGAAAGCGCGCTCGCACGCCACTGCCACGATGACGTTCACGGTCGGCGGAGCGCTGGACCATGGCGATCCACAGTTTCACTCCAGCGCTGTCCTCGAGACAGCCTGGTCCCTTCACCTGATGAAGGCCGCTTGTGTTGTGGCCGAAACGTCGTGATTTTTTGTTGTTTTATTTTTTACCTACGTGACTTTACCGAATAGAACCAAAGAGTATGGATCCACAGGTCTCCGGTTCGATTCCATCTTTCCAAAAGCGGGCCGTTTGAAACAACGGGGAGCGCGAGCTTCCTGAATCCCCACCGTCTACACGCCGGGCCCACGGCAGGAGCAACGGGAGCTCACCCCAGATTGGTGGCCGATCGGGCAGGTCACGTGCGCCGGCGGGCTCAAGTGTGGGCGACTCCCGCCTCTTCCCCGACGTTTGGTCGGCGTGAAAGAGAAGAGTAGGCCAAAAATTACCCCCTCCCCTTGACTCAGAGGGTGTCTTCTCTACAGCTCTCTCGAGCAGAGATCGTTTCTGCCAGCGGTGGCACGAGCGAGCAATTGCAGGGGCCGCACCTTTGCCTTTTGCTGCATTTTAACCGACTGAACTTTGGGCGCGAGGAGCCGGTGGCCATGCTCCGGGACGTGTGCGTGTGAATGCATTTGTATTTCCGCGCGCGGCGCACCAAGACCAAATATTTACCTTTGGCGGCCATGGCACCTTCAATGTGTTCCAGGGTGTCTGGCTCTTCGCAAATATCATAGGGCATGTCTCCATCCACGTTCACCGCCAGCAGATCGGCCCCACTGCACACCGGCACACAGGTCTCATTTCAACGGGTTAAAAAAAAAAAGAAACCGGAAAGAACAAAGGACTACGCACACGCGTCACACACGCGTCACACACGCGTCACACACGCGTCGCACACGCGTCGCACACGCGTCACACACGCGTCGCACACGCGTCACACACGCGTCGCACACGCGTCGCACACGCGTCACACACGCGTCACACACGCGTCACACACGCGTCACACACGCGTCACACACGCGTCGCACACGCGTCACACACGCGTCACACACGCGTCACACACGCGTCGCACACGCGTCACACACGCGTCACACACGCGTCACACACGCGTCACACACGCGTCGCACATGCCGACGGCGTTCCCGCGTGCGGTTTTTTTTCAGCCGGTTGCTGCTGGACAGCCCCCCTCCCCGCGGACGCGCGTCTTCCCCGCTTCGCCGACGTGCGTCCGGGGACCAGAAGAAGCTGCCGGGGTAACGTGGAGGAGGAACGGCGGTACGCCGCGCGGACCGGAACGCGGTTGCGAGCCCGCAAACGCATCGGGGTGGGGTGGGAGGGGAAAAAAACAAATAAACAAAAAGCCCCTCAAGTCGACGATGATATCCAGAGGCAGGGAACGGCGATTCCACGCTCTGCCTGCCTGTCATCGTGAACAATGACATTCTTGACGACAATGATATTCTTGACGACAATGATATTCTTGACGACAATTATATTTTTGACAATATGCAGTGGCAATATTCACTGTGTATTGTCAGGATTGTATTGACATTCTTCACTGTGTATTGACAATATTCATTATTCAACAATATTCAATGATATTCTCCCGTCATCATGAACATTTACATTCTTGACGGCAACGATATTCAATTATATCCTTAACAATGATATTCTTGTCCACAGTAAAACCACGAATCTGCATGGCACAACAATGTCACGTGACCTGTCATGTAACGGCTCTTTTACTCATCTGGCCCAAAAAAGCATCTTAGAAGCTTTGTTTTTTTAATATATATTTTCAATGCCAAAGTCGTATTTAACTACGGATGATGATTACTTGTAGACAAAGCCCATATTTGGATGTAGTTGACGTTGTCATATATGGGTTGGGTAACCCAGTTCCTTACAATACTGCACTTGATAGGATTCAATCCGGTCGCTCGCTCGCTCACCAGCAGGCAGTTGCCTCCGTATCACTCTTCTGTTGCTACTACCATGATTACTGTTCCCGCAAACGTCTCTCATCGATACTTTCACTCATGTTGAGGACTCGGTCTAGCAGACTGTCCCATCCACGCTGCGTTTAACCGCCACGCTGCAGGCCACAACAACACACTCATCCACTAACATCTAACTCAACCCACCCACTCACCTACTCATTCATTCAACCCACTCACTCACAACACCGGAGGTCACAAAACCGTACTTTTCTGCTTCCCTCTGCCATTGTCTCTTACCCCCACAGCATTACGTAACCTCGCTCCAAATTCGTGGAACGCGTTACGCTTTTATCTATTACAAAATCAAGTGCTGTTTGTTGGTGGCCACTTTACGTTTTTGGCCTTCGTGCTTTGTGGTCAGAGACCTTGATAAAAAAATATATTTATTTTTAATTTGACCAGGTAAGGCCCGCCCCGATGAGCTATATAGCTTTTTTTCAGAAGCGACCTGGCCACAAATCATAGCTAAACGAAGTGGCTCATCGCGTGGACATTTATAGCAGCCAAATACTCTAAACGCACGTTTCTAAATGTGGAGTTAAAAACCAGTGGACCCAGAGAAAAATCCATGCGACCCCGGGGAGAGAGACACGCAAACTCCAAATATACAGGTGTCAGGGTCAGGATCGAGCCCGCAACCTCCTGTATAGCAGGCGAGGTAGCTAACATCTCGCCACCGTGGCACCCATATAAAGATTGTCCTGAAAATTCGGCTGCCCCATAAACAATTATGATAAATCTGAAAAGATCACACAACTACTGTTGACACTAAATAAACAAAGGTCTGCTCCAATACAAGAGAACAAAATAGCAATTGGGGGTCCATTAGCTGACATGGGCCGTCATGGATAAAAAACATTATTTCCAGCGGTGTGTCGTTATTAAGCAGGCGATAACCATGCATCGGTGTTGGCCTTCTGCGTTTCACGATTATTACGACACACTGCATTCAAAAGGTTATCCTCCCAGTTTTACTTGATAGAAATTATTGTAATTACGCCTCCCTCCCCCCCCCCCCCCCCCCCCCCGTGACATTTCAACGACGCCGTGCGACGTTCAGCTCACCGAGCCTCCCAACGGAAGGCGGACGTGCGCGGCGCGCCTATTTTTCCTCCCCCCCCCCCCCCCCCCCCACGGCTGTAAACCAAACGAATCGCAACCTCCCCCCCCTAGTCGGCCGAGCCTCTCAGCTTCCCGACGAGGCTCCGGACGGCAAAGCGGTTTTCGTTTCCCTTGCGAGCGGCGTCGCGACTCAAGCGGGACAGCGAACATCACCGAGCGCGGCGACGGCTACGGCCGTCGCCCGCCAAAAGCGCGAGTCGGTCGTGGCGAGCCCAGACGAGCGAGTCTGAATGAAGCCGCGACGTACTCTGTGTGTGTGTGTGTGTATGTGCGTCGGGATGATATCACCGACTGACGATACTCACCTGATGTTGTGGACGCCGCGTGCCACGGATACTCAGGAAGTAAAAACTAAGCCTCTCTGGTACCTAGTGGTGCTGAAAGGGGATTGGGTTAGAGGCAGGGAAATTGAAGGGGTTTGGAGGGAGAAATACAACATGGAAAGAGCGGGGAAACGGAGGATGACTGACAGGGAGGTCAGTTGAGATCGGTTAAGGAAAGTGGAATGTGATTGGCTGGAGGGAGAGTGGGTCAAGGAACCTTCGAGAAAGGGGGCTTAAGGGATATATAAGGGTGGGGGGAAATAAAGACTACTACTGTTGATGACCGCTGTGTTGCCTGTCACTACATACTGTCTGTGTATATATACACTGTATGTATATATACTGTAAGTATAAAAAGATTCACGGAGTTCACCGATTGGCTGATCCAACAACAGCAATGTCTGGCTCTCTTCACACGCCGACCAGTAAATGATGCGTGAACCCCCGGCTTTCGTCCACGCAGATTAAGACGTCGACTAAATCAATAAAAAATAAAGCGACGAAAGTGACGTCGGGGAAAGCTTTCAACCCGACGTCACCCCTCTGCCGAGACTAACTTCGGCCCGAATAGCGCATCTCCGTTCGGAGAGAGAGAGAGAGAGCGAGACAGCGCGTGGGAGACGGCCCTGCCGAAGTTTGTCGTCAAATCCCGCTGCGGGCAGCCAAACCCATCCGTCCGAACTAAAACTGCCGATGGCTGCGTTAACCGTCGGCGTACGTTGCCTACTCGCTTCGCAGGCGGACGGGCGTTTAAGAGATACCGCGGACGTTCGGGGAATAGAAAAGGAACGCCCCGAGCGTGCGTGTGCCAGCCACAACCGTGGGTCCAGCTTTTGGCGATTTTGAGAAAAAAAATACAGCGGAAGAAGCATCGCTTCCAACTGCAGAACTTAAACAGGGGCCTCCAGAAAAAAAATAGTCTTGAGACTCAACGATGTTTTTTTTTTTCCCGAGGTAAATAAATGTTATCATTATCATCATGAAGCTTCAAGTGTTATCAAAGCAAACGTAAAATAAAAGGGTGTAAATATATCAAAGGCGCAATTGTTCCTCGAGTGAGGCTTAGACAACTAATTTTAATGTCATGGCAAGGAACTGTGCATCAGCTATTCACTGCTTTTATTTTACTTTCTGAATGAAACATGTTGTTTTTCCTTCATATTTTCGCGGAACGGCTTAGGCGCGATTATTTATCGCAGATGCACTGACAAAGCGATGAAAAGCAAAGTGCAATTTGAATATGAAAGCGTTTCAATGCGCGATCGTTTTTATTTATCGTGTACCTTCCTTCGCTTTTGATTTATCTGGGACGCCCTCGCTCTCGAGCTCAGGACAAGATTTGGCCGACGGCCAAACTCAGTGCGTGCATTTTTTTTTATTAACCTCGAACTATAACTCCGCAACGCAGATAATCACGTCAGAGGAGCCCAGCCTCTACGCTCCAGGGGCAATGCAAAAAAGTGGGGATAAATCACACGGCTGGCGTGCGTGGATTCTGCAGATGCATTTTAACAAATTCATTTGGAGGTTATTAATATGCATGAGCAGGTAGCCCGATAGACAGCTCTGAGGGCAAAACTTGTTTTGTGTATTTGCAAAATATTGCGCAGGAGTAATATTTTTTATTTTGTTATCTATATCAATTAGGCCGGTTTTTTGTTTCAACAGGGTAGGGTCCTCTTTAGCGACACAACGCTCAAACAAAAGTCGTCTTCGTAATTGAAGCTTGTTTACAAGATCAGGATCAGAATATTTATTTATCCCGGAGGAATCCGATGTATCATAGCCGCCCGCCCCCCACTGCCACCCAGACCATCGTCACCCCACCCATCCATCCACCGCCCGTTACGAACACCCACAAGACACGACGGTAATGCACTCATATCTTTTTCACCTGCGTTGGAAAGTTGTCAAAAACAACAACAACAACAACAGTTGCCCTTGGCGCGAGTTGAGTTGGTCAAAGACGAGACTGAAACGTGGAAACCGCCCACGACATCGCCACCGAGATAAAATCAGACACCCGACGAGATCAGCGTTCGGTGGATCTTCCCGTATATTGAAACGCCCCCCCCCCCCTCCACCGCCCTTTTTTGATTGGCTAATTATCCCCAGAGGCCGCCCGTGATCGTGCTGGAAAGACCAGGTGGTGGTGCGCCTGTGCCGAGGAGAGACCGGCGATCCGGGGAGCCACAGTTGATGCCGCTGGCGGGGGACAGGGCAGGATGGAAGAAGGCCTTGGTGGAGGTGCTGCCCCCCGTGACCCAGTTCAGTTCGAAGAAGCGGGCCGATATCGATTGATTGATAATTATCTGCGTGATCGGCGTTTTGCTCGCGGTCCGCTTTTATCGCGTTACAGCACAATTAATAAGGGACTAAACGATGTTTTATTTGACCAGGTAAGGCCCACTCAGCTATATAGCTCTTTTTTTCAGAAGCGACCGGGCCACGAACGATGGCTAAACGAAAGTGGATTATTATCACGTGGGCATATACTCTAAATGCACGTTGATTCCAAATGTCCCGGAGGAAAAAATCCGCGCGGCCACAGGGAGAGAGAGAGAGAGACTTGCAAACTCCAATTATACAGGCATCAAGGTCGGGATCAAACCCACGACCTCCTGCAGAGCAGGCAAGGCGGTTAACATCTCGTCACCTGGGTGCCCTGGCCGGGCCACAAACAGAACGAACACAGGGTCGCGTGTGGCGCCGGCGCTGCATACTGAATGCACGCCACCCGTGATCAATGACGGAGCCTTAACCTTCCGCTATTTGCAGATCCGTCTCAATCTCTGAGCCGCGCGCCAAACGCAATTACTATTTTAACTGCAAAGTTACGGGAAAAGGGGAAGAGAGAAAAAATGTAAACTAAATAGAAATCGAGCCGAGGATAAAGTGTCGCCCAATCACCGAACCTCCGTTATGAAATCGATCCATTCCCAGTGGAAATGGTCGCAGTGGCTCAGAGGGGGAATCGTGATATTTTTTCTGGATGCTGAGCCAGCATTTGCGGGGGGGGGGGGGGCGGGGGGATGAGTGTCCGAGAAAAACTATGATTTTCTCAAATCGTCGCGCACGGCAGATGCGGCGACCTCCGAGACAAATGGGAAAAAAAACTTTTTTTAAATAAAAAAAAAAGCAAAAAGAACGTGAACAAAACTTCGTACCGCGCTCAATTTGACTAAATTCCTCTTCGTCTTCTTCGTCGTCGTCTTCTGCAGCTTCTTCTTCTTCGTCTTCATCTTCTTCGTCCTCTTCTTCTTCATCTTCGTCGTCTTCTTCTTCTTCGTCTTCATCATCTTCTTAGTCTTAATCTTCTTCATCATCTTCTTCGTCCTCTTCTTCTTCATCTTCGTCGTCTTCTTCTTCTTCATCTTCGTCGCCGTCTTCATCATCTTCTTAGTCTTAATCTTCTTCATCGTCTTCTTCGTCGTCTTCTTCACAGTGCGGGTCAATGAAATGGCGGTGGCAACCCAGGGCTGCTTCGGATACGACCCCGCCACTCACTGCTGTTGCCCCTCGCTGATGAGCGTGGGGGTGCAAGATGCGGATCTTCCCGCACGGTCCACCTGCGACGGCGCGCGCCATCGCCATCGCCACGGCAACCGGACGACGCTCACCGAAATCAGGGTGACAACAAACGGCAACTTCAACGATGCCAAAGCGCCCCGCGCCCTCACGGCCACTGCCGGGAGATCAGTCGGCCCAACTTTACACACGCGGATAAAATTCGAATTACATAACAACACGGTTGGCTACGTACGATGCGAAAGAAGTTCAACATACATCCTTAGGCCGCGGCTGCAACTCAAACTCGACGGGTTTCAAGCACGGTGCGCTCACCACTGTGCCAACGCTCCCCATTATTATTAATCCTATTATTACATTCACATTTGCTCCAACGAAGGAGAAGCACCTGCGGTAATGTGCGTGGTGTTGACACGCAACGCGCAAAGGAGGGCGAGCGTCACACTTGCGCGAGCGCGCGAGAACTATTTTTAACGCTGCCGCAGCACTCTGGCTCAGGCAGGTGGGCAGGCATGAATACCCATGACAAGGGCTGGCTTCAAATCCCACGCCTACCACTGATTGACGCACAGCATCATCGAGAGCAACCTCTCAATAGAAGGCTGCGCTTTAAAAAATATTTTCATCTTTTTTTTTTTAAAGATGAAAATATAACTTGAGGCGTGCAAGGGCAGCCTTTGTGCGTTTTTGTGCGCCTAATCTAAAAATGAAAGATCCTCGCGTCTCTGTCGCCAGCTCCAGGTGCTCAATTTCAAGCCGCGCCAAATTGTCGGGGTGGAGGGGGGTGAGGGGGAGGGTTGAGGAGGATGGGGCCTTATCACCAGAACAAAGATTTGAATAGAGGCCTGGGTCATCGCAGCGAGATCAGAGCCTGCGATGCGGGGCCACAGCCGCCCACACATGACAGGGGCGACGGAAACTGGCGGCCAAAAATCACGGAAACACGAGCAGGCAGAGGAGACAGAGAGGAGAGGAGACAGAGAGGAGGTAGAGAGGAGACAGAGAGGAGAGGAGACAGAGAGGAGACAGAGAGGAGAGGAGACAGAGAGGAGACAGAGAGGAGAGGAGACAGAGAGGAGACAGAGAGGAGAGGAGGTAGAGAGGAGACAGAGAGGAGACAGAGAGACGGCAGAGAAGAGACAGAGAGGAGGCAGAGAGACGGCAGAGAGGAGGCAGAGAGGAGGCAGAGAGGAGACAGAGAGGAGGCAGAGAGGAGACAGAGAGGAGAGGAGACAGAGAGGAGACAGAGAGGAGAGGAGGTAGAGAGGAGACAGAGAGGAGACAGAGAGACGGCAGAGAAGAGACAGAGAGGAGGCAGAGAGACGGCAGAGAGGAGGCAGAGAGGAGGCAGAGAGGAGACAGAGAGGAGGCAGAGAGGAGACAGAGAGGAGACAGAGAGGAGGCAGAGAGACGGCAGAGAGGAGGCAGAGAGGAGACAGAGAGAGGAGACAGAGAGGAGGCAGAGAGGAGGCAGAGAGGAGAAAGAGAGGAGGCAGAGAGGAGACAGAGAGGAGACAGAGAGAGGAGACAGAGAGGAGGCAGAGAGGAGGCAGAGAGGAGAAAGAGAGGAGACAGAGAGGAGACAGATAGGGGACAGAGAGAGGGGACAGAGAGGAGACAGAGAGAGGAGACAGAGGAGACAGAGAGAGGAGACAGAGAGGAGACAGAGAGGAGACAGAGAGGGGACAGAGAGGAGACAGAGAGGGGACAGAGAGGGGACAGAGAGGAGACAGAGAGGGGACAGAGAGGAGACAGAGAGGAGACAGAGAGAGGAGACAGAGAGGAGACAGAGAGAGGAGACAGAGAGGAGACAGAGAGGAGACAGAGAGGGGACAGAGAGGAGACAGAGAGGCGGCAGAGAGGAGACAGAGAGGAGAGACGAGGAGAAATAAAATCAGAATCGAAGCTCCGCTTGGTTTGCGGCCGAGATTCACGGGCAAAGAAAGCATTTAAGCGAACAAGACAGTGAACAACAAGACAGTGAACAACAATTCGCCAGACGGAACGACTCTGCCGGGGGTCAAGGCGGAAGACGTTCGGGTCGGAGGAGCCCCATGCGATGGGATGCTTCGGAGCAGTGAGAGGCAATCGACAAATAATAATAATAAAAAAAAACTATTCGTGATATTGTGGAGACGCGACGCGCCGTGGGAGCCGCCGGGCGGGCGAGCGGGAGGGCACCCCCAGGGAAGCGATTTTCCTCTTCGCCCGTCGGCCGTGGAGACGCACACCGTGCCCGGACTCTCGTGCCGTGGCCACGAGTCCCGACGCACGGGTGCCCATCTGAACCGTCGTCCGTCCGCACGCCCGCCCGCGCTGCTTAGCTCAGCGCACCGCGCTACGAACCGCAACCGACGGCCAGAGTTCGATTCTCGCTCGCGGAACAACAACGGTGGAAAATGTTCGAACCGAAATTGGGTCTTCCGCTAGGTCGACTCAGCCCCAAATGAGTACCTGGTGCGGTGTGTAAACATCGCCGCTCGGGAGACAAAGGCGGCCCGGGCGTGGTGCTGGCCACCCACCCCCCTCGTGTGCCGTGCCGGCCTTCATAGGTGCTCGCTAACAGCACTTGCCCCTACAGTGTGTTAAAGCTATACGGGGGAGCTTTGTCTTTTTTGCAGGTGTGTGCATGTTTGTGTGTGCGTGAGCGTGTGCGTGTGAGTGTGCGTGTGAGTGCATGTGAGTGTGCGTGTGAGTGTGCGGTAATGTAGCAGTTAGCGCGCTGCACTATGAACCCAGTGACCCGAGTTCAATTCCCGCTCACGGCGAACACCGGTGACGATTATTTGAACCGGTCCTGGGCCTGCCCTAGGTCGACTCAGCCTCAAATGAGTACCCAGTGCAGTGTGTAAAACATCGCCACTGGGGAGACAAAGGCGGTCGGGCGCGGTGCTGGCCATCCACCCCCCTCGTGTGCCGTTCCGGCTTTCATAGCTGCTCGCTAACAGCACTTGCCCCAACAGTCTGTCAAGGCTACACGGGGGATCTTTGCCTTTCGCGTGCGTGAGTGCGTGAGTGCGTGCGTGAGTGCGTGTGCCACTGACTGGCCGAGCAGCTGCTGCACGAGGGGAAGGTTCCCGCAGGCGGCGGCTGCGTGCAGCGGGGTCCAGCCCTCCGAGTCGCGGGGGTTCACGTTCGCCCGGTGCACCAGCAGCAGCGCCACCACCTCGGAGTAGTCATCGATGCAGCACTGCCGGCGGGCGGGCGGGCGGGCAGGGGGGCACACGGCGGAAACACACGGCGGGAGACGCCGCTCAGCGACGCTGCGGATCAAACACCCCCCCCCCCCACCTTCCCCCGCGTCGTCATTCGCAGGGCGGTCCCGGACCCGGGGAGGGGGGGAGATCGGCGTTTTCGTCGTCGTCCATCAGCGTGGAAGAGTAGGCCAAATACCATCCTACGGAGCTCCGTCCAGCGGAGGGACGCTCGCCTAGTGGCAGCGGCGTGAGTACCCGCAGGGATGGCGTTCGTCGATCCACTGCTGGATGAACCCATCCTCAAGCCACGGCCCACATCGTCATCAGCCATGGTCGATCCACTGCTGGATGGAGGCCTCCCCAAGCCGCTGACAACTACCTCCCGATCCTGCGACGTAGCAATCCACCCGGCACCGCTCCGTCCCCTCGGTGGGGCGCTCCCCGTTCCGTTACCATGCCTAACTCTGCCACCCCGTTGAGGGCGTCCGGGCGCGGCGTCTGCGACAGCTCCGTCTCATTGGCGTGCCGTGCCGGCCTTCATAGGTGCTCGCTAACAGCACTCGCCCCCAACAGTCTATGTAAGCTACAGGGAGGAACGGTGGGGGGGGGGGGATATTTGTAATTTCATATCTGCACATATTTGTATAGCCGTGTGCGTTCATGTGCCAGACGTGTATGTTTGTATATGAGGGGTGCGCGCGTGCGTGCGTGTGTGCCTGTGCATGCGACCGTGCGTGTGTGCCTGTGCATGCGACCGTGCGTGTGTGCCTGTGCATGCGACCGTGTGTGTGTGTGTGTGTGCGCTAAAAATATCCACCACCGATGATGGACCATCTGTCGGCTCCTGAACGCAGATGTCCCCCTCTTGGGGCAGCAGTTTACCGCTTTTGTCACCGTCACTCTCAAGTCAAAGGAGCGCACCCCCACTAAGATTTCTCTCAAAGCATTGGTTCACAAAAAGAGTGTGTCTTCTTTGGTTCTTTCGGTAAAGTCACGTAGAATGAGAATAAAATAATAAAATAACACAATAAAATTCTCACGACGTTTCGGCCACAACGCAAGCGGCCGTCTTCAGGTGAAAGGTAGTGATGTGGAAGGTCTGTACCTTTCACCTGAAGACGGCCGCTTGCGTTGTGGCCGAAACGTCGTGAGAATTTTATTGTGTTATTTTATTATTTTATTCCCATTCTACGTGACTTTACCGAAAGAACCAAAGAAGATGAATCCTTGCAGTCACGAAAGCTTTAAATCGAGAGTGTAAGTGGTTTCCTCCTCAAATCAGCATCGACACGCTCGCTGCTCATCATCTCATTCACAGCCCTGAGAAAGTGGTGGAAATTCCACGTTCCTATGGCCCACCGAGTTTATCCATAGCACATCCACCAGTGACTTCCCCATGATGCGGTATTCTAAAACTAAGCGAAAAACATGTTTTTTTTTTACCAGGTAAGGCCCACTGAGCTATGTAGCTCTTTTTCAGAAGTGACCTGGCCACAAATGATAGCCCAATGAAGTGGCTTATCATCATGTGGAAATTTATAGCAGCGAGACACTTTTAGTTTTTTCCGGTAAAGTCACGTATAAATAAAAAATAATAAAATAACAATAGCGTACGAAGTTTCGGTTGCAACACAAGCAGCCATCATCAGGTACAGAAGAGCTAAATTTACGAGAGAGAGGAAACACATAACCCCAGATGTATATACAGACACCCAAGTAGGGGGGAACTAACACAGATACAACAGGGTACAACAGAGAGAGAAGCATACCAAACAATCATGGTTTAGCAAAATTTGGAAACCATATAAAGCAACACAGACGGTCGGTCAAAACACAATTAACGCATAGTCTGGTTGATTACGCTATTTCAAAGATTGTTAAATTGCAAGTTAAGTATGAAATTTAAAATACAGACCGCGCACACACACATAGACATCCAAGTAGAGTGAACCAGCACAGACACGCACACAGTGAAGTCGCCTTAAATAGGCAGAGAAGGTGAGGCTGAGAGACAATGGGACAAATTAGCATGAGGTATGCATGGAGCAAAGGGGGCGCGGCAGCACACACTCGGAAACACCAAGGCCCACACACAGGCAGAGACAGCACAGAGACACAAATCCAAGCCAAGACACAAAGGCAGATGCACAAGCAGAGACAACACAAAGACACAGACCTCATACCTCCCCGTAGAGGTGGTTCAGACTTGATTCGAAGCTTTCGTGACTGCAAGAATTACTCTTTGTTTTTTTCGGTAAAGTCACGTATAAATTAAAAATAATAAAATAACAAATAACAATATATTTTTTTTATTTATACGTGACTTTACCGAAAAAAACAAAGAGTAATTCTTGCAGTCACGAAAGCTTCGAATCAAGTCAGCGAGACACTCTAAACGCATGTTTCTAAATGCGGAGGGAAGAAACCGGAGGACCCGGAGAAAAATCCACGTGACCAGGGGGAGAGAGCCACGCAAACTCCAAATATAGAGCAGGCGTCAAGGGGTCGGGATCAAACCCACGACTTCCTGCGTACCAGGTGACCTCAGAGGGATGATGGGCAGTGGTTCCCATTCTGTGGTCCACACGGCCGTCGGAAGTAGTCCATGGAACTGTTGCAGACATTGCGATTTCAATTTTTTTTTAAATATATATAGGTTTCATCGGTGCATGGTGGTGACAAATTAATCTTCAGTGGTTGACGAAAAACCGTGGCTCAAAGAAAGGTTGCGAACCAATGGGCCTAGACAATGAGAACCGAAATAATCTGTCGGAGGAATCGTCGAAGGGTTCTTAACCCTTTCCCTTTGCGATGACGCACGTGTTACATCGTCGTCCGTCTTCAGGTTGGAAGACGCACCGAGGCTCCCACAAGGCCATGCGGGAGGGCGTGTGTAACAACCAGCATCAGCAGGCAACAGCCAACTCTGGCTGTCGCCCGATGAGGCTGAATTGGCATGTTTTATTTACGTGGCAAATCCTACTAATTGCCTGCGTCGGGTGGTGGCGGATTAAACAACACATTTACACTTATTCATATTCTTAGCTATTTCGGTAAAGTCACGTTGAAGGGAAACAATAAAATAATAAAATATATATAAAACAATAAAAATGCTCACGACGTTTCGACCATAACACAAACGGTCATCATCAGGCAACAGCCAACTCTGATGACGACCGTTTGTGTTATGGTCGAAACGTCGTGAGAATTTTTCATTGTTTTATATATATTTTATTGTTTCCCTTCAACGTGACTTTACCGAAAGAGCTAAGAATATGAATTACTGCAGTCACGAAAGCTTTAAATCAAAACATTTATACTTGCACGATCTAACCCAAAAAAAACCTCTATCATGGATAATGTTGGTCGCGAAAGCCTCCTGCGAATTAAACTTGAGACAGCTTGGTGCCAGCTATCGTCGAGTCGCGGTTTTGTCGCTACAGTTCTCTGCGGTGAGCAACAACGTCTTTAAAAACAACGGCGCCTCTCTCAATGAAATTGACGCCGAGGCGCTCGCGTGTTCCCCAGAATCATCGGTGAACGGGGACACCCGCCCACCCTGCCACTTGCAGACGTCTCGCTGAACGGGAAAGGGTTAACGGCCGCCGGTGAGAAGAGAAGGAATGGAGAAGCGGCTGCAAAATCGCATGATTTAAACACTCCCGACCAACCTTCGTCATTAACAAACACTGCCCTCTGACTGAACGATAAGCCGCATCGTAATCTAATGTCTTGGGTGATGACCCATTTTCGGGAGGCGGCAGTGCTCCGAAGCAGATCTTAAATTAATTAAAACTACCACCACCACCATTGATTTTTCCATCAGCGTAATCGCCACCGTCACAGATACTCATTACCATCAGCGGGCGCTTATGAAAGAGCATTTATGAGACCGCAATTATTTATCAATTGCTCGCTACACCGCACGTCTCAGCGCGGCCAGTTCGCTCTCACAGTGGTGGCGCTACGCGTGAGCAGGACTCGGCAAAAGCTCAGGGACCCCGAGAGGGGCATCGGCGTGTGCCGAATGTCCGCCGGTTCCGTCAACATTCGCGTGTCATCGCACCGCGTTCCACCGCACCTCCATCTTACACCTCTCTCACCTCCCCACCCACGCACCTGTGCCCTCTGTATCGCTCATTCCTCTCGTCCACGCATCCGTGTGGCACTGTCAACGGCTATTCCACATTTGTACGCGTCCACGTATCCGACGCCTCTCATGGCATCCCGATACACCTCCGTTGTGCGAACCTCTTCTGTCGTGTCACTACATCCTTTTTTCATTTCACGAGGAGTTTGTAAAACACAAATGAAAAAAACGTGACAAATTTTCCCCATCGGAGGTGGGGGCGGGTGGAGGTGGTGGACGTGGCGGCCAACACATCTGCAGCATTCCCTCGCTGTTCACGAACTTCCGATATCCGCGATTTTGGCTCTCCGCAAATCGCATCTCGATCAATGCATCGAGAGAGCGATAGAGAAAGTAATGAGATCAATTGGTGAGGTAATTTTCACGTATTTGAGAGCAATTTTTTTCGCATTCAAGGTAATTCATTAAAAATATAGCTTTTCTTAAGCCAATGTCATTCTCCGCGAAATTTGCTATTTACTTGCATCTCCGAAACAGATCACATAATGAGGGAATGCTGTACGAGTTAAAATAAATCATTTGTGCCGAGGGTCCCCGGATGAGCCCACATGACCTTTGCACTCCCAACCCCACAGCGCGCTCGCGATTACACGCGGAGGCGCGAACACTGTCGCCTCTGTGACAGCGCCGAGGCGATGGCGTTGGTGCCACCATCGACGGTGTCCGTGCCGTCATCAATGCCGTTGGCGCCTCCGCTTGCTTCGGCACCCTCCCCGCGAGAGGCTACATCTCTCTCCCCGCGTTCTGCGTTGTGTAAATTTGGAACATCCAATTAAAGCAATCAACCTCATCGCAGAGTGTAGTGTGCGCGCATGAGAGACGCGCTTCGGAATTTATTCTTTG